GACCCCATATACATTTCATCTTTTGTTCTAGATGGTTTTCGGCGCTGAATCAGACCCCCTCCGTCTCACCAGACATCCACCTCTCCAGCTAAGCATGGTGCCCTCCTGTTCATCTGTAACTATCTCCTGTTCATCTGTAACTATCATACCTTACTTTCCTTGTTCCAACTTTGGCTGCCGTGTTATTATGGTATCTTTGTGTTGTCAAAAAAACCCTTTCGTAAGAGTGGAGTTCAAGCGGAGGGCCCTGAAGTGTTTCCCCGACAGACGGCACGGCGGAAAAGCAGGATTTCATGGCCTGTTCTCACATAGCTGATGCTTGGTAAGGGCACATTTTTGTGGATTCCTTCCAATCGCCAAACAGTCAAATGCCCAGATTTGTGCTGGACTGTATGTGGCTGTGTTGGTAAACAGAGATGGATGGTAGATGCTGACTCATAGCCAGAAAAATATTTTGTGGGGTCTGGGAACCATCTATAATTTTTGCTGAGGGGGCGTTGGTCCCCCTCAGTAGATTTGTGGGGGCGGGGGTCCCTGGTGATGATTCATAGATCTGAGGGGATCCTTCCATGGATAAAATTTGGAGGGTTTCTCAAAATCAGAACTACCTGACCCTGTGCATGATTGGTAATAAAAAGTAGCGGCCATAGTGATGTATTTTGACGTACGATGCGAAGTGTGCATGTGTATGTAAAGAGTCCAAGTGTGCAGGGATGTCTAAAAACCAATGGGACACACTTGATATCTGAAGAGGCAGACAAGACGCTCGGTGGACAACTATGTGGTCATTTATGTTGGATGTGTTTCAGGTTGTCCTTCATTGCAGCCCAGGTTCTGCAAACATTTGTTTGTGCACCAACATTGAAACGGCTTTGGAGACGTGCTGGGCTCCGATTAGTTGGCAGATTTCCTGGTGTTTGATGTCAACATTGGTGTTCAGTGATGTGGTGCATTGTGGTATACAGTATATACTTAGCCGAAGACCACTTCCGTGTAGTATTTGCCAAAGTGTGGAAGTGCAGAACAAGCGCACTGCATTTGGCTTACTTGAGGAACGGGACAGCCTTGGATACTTGTGCAAAGTGCCTGCTGTGTGTAAGTGGGGCAAATGGACAGAGCCAGTATTCCCACAAAATACTACTCTGACAGAAAAAGGGCTACCTGAGGCATTCAGGCATCAGCCTGTGGGGAGAAATTAAATGAATGGATTTAAACTGTGTATATATATATATATATTTGGAGAAAATGTCATGCTGACAGGGGGCGCACTAAGAGGATCCCTGGGGGTCTAAATATGAAACTGCATCTGTAATTTGTCTCATTCTGTAAATACTATCATTCACACGCTTTCTTCCATTGTAAACCAATTATGTGCAGAATTAACATGCACTTGTAAATTGTACCTGTTTCATGTTGTACCATTTTCTTTGTTTCTGGTTCTCAGAACAGACACGTTTGAAACATCAGTACAGACTGGGCTCAGTCTGCCTGCAATGCCTGTAGGAGTACCTCAAAAGTCATGATCCATCCATCCATCCATCCTCCTTTGAACTGCTTATCCAGATCAGGATCATATGCACTTTCGGAACACAATGCATATATCATTTTATCAACCCTATTACATGATGCAGTGTCTTTAACGTGTGGAGAGCACAGAAGTCGACCCCCCACCCCGAAAGGCAGAGCCCGATTACTTATCTCGCAAGATAAGATTTTCCAGCGCCACCATGTGGACAATTTTAAGGCCTCCAGGCACCTGGCTCCACACCAAAGGATCCTGTTGCCCCTGGTGCTCCAGGGACACCTGAAGGCTGCTCCTCTCTGTCCGGTCCACACAGAAATGATGTTCAGAGAAGCTCAGTAGCAGAAGACGTCGTCCTCGCATAATGCCTCTGGAAATTTCCTTCCAGGCCCTGAGGAAGGATGTTCACCATAAGGATGCGGTACTTCAGCTTATCTAACCTGTGATGATTTCTGATCTTTATCATCAGCAAATCAAGGGGCTCCATCTAGCCCGATGAGCATCTGATGAAAAGTTGGGCCATGCTGGTTAAAACAGGAGCATATTCAGCTGGTATAACCATAGGAGACGTTCCTGCTCCACACATGTGGACGCCAGCTAGGCTGCTGTGCTCAGTTCGGTCTGTCTTTCAGTGTCCTTCAGGTTCCCTTGATCCGCTCGTGAGGTCAGACCTCATGGCGTGACCTTCTCCACCACCTCCTCGGCCAGCGTTTCATGGAGCTTTTCCTCCCACCATTCAGGTATCAAGGTTGATGGTCATGGTTTCCAAGACTGATGGTTGATGATTTCCAATGTGTAAGAGGACAAAAGTAACCAACAAACAAGTGGAATAGCAGACGGTTATATTTGATTCTGGGGTGCTGGTAGCTGCATGCTCTGCGCTCTCATCTGACCAGTGAGACATGCTACACCCCATGGCCTGATGAAGAGGCTGGCCTGAAGTCTTTCATCCTCCCTCAGCACTGCCTTTGATCTGCCACATGGGTTAGCCGATGCCTCACGGAGATCAGAGCTGTGCAAATGCCAGTCTGAAGGTAATCCCCCGAGCGGCCAGACTCATCTGGGTCTACATGGCAACGATGAAGATCTGGGCACAGTTCTGACCTTGTTAACACCACTTTACATTCAGAAACGTTTAACCCTCTTATTGACCTACCAAGAAGGGTGTCAGCAGCAGGTTTTGCCAATTCTAGGATTTTAAGGTAAGGGGAATAAGAGAGGCCATAATTCATACGGGGAGGGGCGGGACTTTATCATTAGCCAATGCTTTGTTTTTAATCGGTGAGTGACAGGGGAGTGGCACTCTAGGGGCCAATCAGGCTTCAGCTGTGCTCCTGTGGCCTCGCCCCTGGATACCTCCTCTGGGGTTGGGACCTGAAAAAAAAAGATCAAACTCATTTTATGGAAAAATTACCCTGTAGGACTGGACTGGCCTGAGTGTGATAGTCAGTAATGCCAGGGAGACTCGGCCAGCAGAAGAGCGTAGAGAGAGGCCTGGCCAACGTGCACGTGACTGTGTGTGAACAGCGCGTGCCTTTTGGTGAGCGGGAAGGCTGCCTGTGTCATACCTGTCTACACGGAGCATGTTTGACTTCCTGTTTCCTGCCTGGGCTGTTACCTGTCAGAGCTCCTTCAGGAGGCCCACAGACACGATATCGCACTCCTCCTTCCCATCATCCTGCTCTTCAGAAGCTTACTTCCATCCCGGCTTAGTGCTCTTACTCCCGTTAAATCCGCCACTGCAGCTGATGCGGCTTATCAGATTTTTCCATTTTAATTAGCGTATTCGTTTCAGCCGATGTGTCCTTTCCTGTGCCCCCAATAGAGCAGACGAACATCTCCGCTACTAGCTGTTCTGGGTAACCTGACCGCTGACCTGCAGCTTGGAAGCCTGTTTTTATGCAACTGCTAATTAGTGATCCATGTTCCATTTTTACAGAGATCCAGAGAAGCCTCTTGGGGAGAGAGAGAGAGAGAGACAGAGAGAGAGAGAACAAGATCATGAACAAGAGAGGGACCGAGTGAGAGAGAGAGTGAGCGAGCAAGAGAGAGCAAGAGTGAGCGAGAGACATAAAGAGCAAGACTGAGCAAGCGAGTGAGAGAAAGAGCGAGAGAACGAGAGCAAGAGAGTGAGAGAAAGAGCGAGAGAGTGAGAGAGCAAAGAGAGTGAGACTTTTTAAAACCTTCTTTATTAACACAAATGCACAATTAATCCTTACTCAAAAAAAGATGAAAAAAAATAAAATAAGGAAAAATTAAAATAAAAGGGGAGTGAGAGAAAGAGAGAGAAAAAGAGCAAGAGAGTGCGAGAGAGACTTCTAACTTTTTGTTCACTGCTAGTGAATAGTGATAATAGTTAATTTATGTATGCTGTTGACCTCCTGCTTGTTTACCTGAGCATGCCAGGAAATGGGTCTGTGTAAGTGCCGACTCGCGATCACGTTCACGCCACTCCCACTCCCTTTGTTTGTTTGATCTGGAAATTCACATCAAAACTAGAACATGATAATAAAAATGCAGAGCAGAGGATCAAATTTTTAGTTGTTCTTTTTAAACATTTTTAATGAGGCATTTGCATATAGTAACCCACAGAACGTTACAAACATCAAAAGTTAATCCATGTCACGTTAGAATGTCTCTACGCATAAATGATAAAGTACTCTTATATCACATGCATATATCGCAGGCTGTGGCGGGCAGCACATGGCTCCGCGGGCCCCCCAGCGAGGCCCCTAACCCCCAGCTCTGCGGGCCCCCCAGCGAGGCCCCTAGCCCCCAGCTCCGCGGGCCCCCCAGCGAGGCCCCTAACCCCCAGCTCCGCGGGCCCCCCAGCGAGGCCCCCTAGCCCCCAGCTCCATGGGCAGCGCTGCAGGTGGCTGCCCTTCGCGGCCAAGCCTGCTCACGCCTCTATGTGTGTCATGGAGAGCAGGACAGGGCAGGCAAAAAGACAATTTCCCCATGGGGATCAATAAAGTATCATCATGTCATATTCATTTATATGCATTACAATATAAGCACAGGCACCTGCCTCAATACACATAAGGGCCGTTGTGCTTTATACCTTGTTTATACCATGTTTATGCAGCGCTCTTTGCTGCCCTTACCAGATGCCATACTGAATGTAGGGTGTGTGCACACGCACGCACGCTCGCACGCTCGCACGCACGCTCGCACGCTCGCACGCACGCTCGCACGCACGCACGCACGCTCGCACGCACGCTCGCACGCACGCTCGCACGCACGCTCGCACGCACACTGTAGTACCCACAGGAAACCTACATGTCACAGGGAGAGGATGCATAGAGTGGATTCGAACCCCTGACCCTGGAGGTGGGGGCCACCTATTTGACTTCCCATTTGTTTAATTGGACTGTGAAACAACAGCCAAGGCACATTTACATAGAACTCTCTGCCTTCCCCCACCAAGGTCTCCATCTTCCTCCACCCAAGTCTTTGCCTTCCCCCACACAAGTCTCCATCTTCCCCCACACAAGTCTCCATCTTCCCCCACACAAGTCTCCATCTTCCCCCACCAAAGTCTCCATCTTCCTCCACCCAAGTCTCTGCCTCCCTCTTTACCACCCGATCCTCCACTGAAAACTGGTAGACTGGTAGAGTCAGGGGCAAAAAAATTACGAACTCAAGTAATGGCCTCATATTTACACAATTACAGCCATTGTTATGTCATTTGGAAGGAAACACGGTAGCTAAGACCCAACTTTTAGTCAAGGAATATCTGCATTAATCCTTTATTTATTTATTTGTTGTTTTTAAACCCAATTTACACTCTGTCAAATAGCAGATGAGTTAAAATTATTTGTTTTGAGGACCTCGGCACAGATAAGTGTTACAAAATGAAAGTGACATTCCCCCCCCCGCCTGTCTCATTTGTAGGTCATTATATTTCCGAGCCGTTGGCAAGCAAATTAGAATCCAGCACAGATTCATTTTACTTCCAAGATAGAGGGGCTTTAGCAAACAAGGCCTGCTTTCAGCGCGCGGTTACATGCAAATGAGAGTGACACTCCAGTTCTGGCAGAAGCGTCCCGCGCCGGGCCGCTGGCCGCCCGGAGAATGCATTTTTATTAATCGCGTTTAACAGCATAAAGAATCAACACGTGAATAATTCATGAGGCCCCTTGTTGACAAAAGCTTTCCGCCACCGTGGCGGGAGACGGAACGTGCTCATGCGCGGCGTGGCGGAGATGAACCGCGCCGACCCGCCGTAGCGCCAGAGCGGGCAGAAGTGTGCCGTGGGATGATATAACAGGTAAAGCAGGCGGAGAGACATCAGGTGTATGTGGCTAGAAGAGAGGAAGACAGGAGTCAATTAGGTCTGCCTCACACCTGTGATGGGGCCAGTCTCATTTCAACTTAACTAAAGAGCAAATGGAAAGAGCGTCAGGCCAATACTGCTGCGTGCCTCCGCCAGATGGGACAGGTCTAAAATAGCAACCAGGCAAAGGTGAAGAAAATTGCAAATCAGCGTATGACACTATGGAAATGTTTTCTGTAAAAAGCAGGAAGGCGAGTGCGGCTGCGGCGCCGCAGTGATGCTGATAAATTGTTATTGTGGCAGTCAAGAAGAGTGACGAGCGGGACGCGGTCAAACACGGCGTCAGATTAAAGCGGGAGCCGTACAGGCAGCCGGGCCTGATGGATTTTCCATAATTCATATCATATCGTGGATTCACGTCGTCACAGGAAGCAAACAAAGGACAGCTGGTGGCTGAGTGGCCCCACAGGTATGGCAAGCGCTGCGGAACGGGCCGGATGCGCCGACGTCCACGGATCTTAATGTGAGCTGCTTTGGTAAAAATCACTGTAATCTGTGGTGGGCACTTTAATGCATACGCACAGCAAATTAATCTTAATAATAGGTATATTTATGCCTGAATACCCTGCAAATAGGCACACTTATATTGTGACATTTCGGGAGCTCTGCTTCTGAAGTTCTCGTGAACTTTGTTCCCTTTCAGAATACCCCCATTCTCATAATTGCATATTTCACTGGATATGCAGTTTTAGAAATGACTGTGATTCCCGTAATTGGTATAATGGGTTTCTTAACAGTTCTCTGTACCGCAGATGGAGAGTGAGGCCCAAATCCTTCCAACCACGATGAGTGCTTTGGACAACGCATTCCGCTCTGTGGCCTTGGTCATGTTTCCAAACCCCGGTCTTTAGGTAGGTAATTAGCAAACCAGTATGACACAGTAAACATGTCACTACACACAGGCCTACAGTTATGCTTCAGCAAATAACAGACTGTTACGGGTTGGTCACTGTGTGGTCTAAGATCGGTTTACAGACCTTCTATGAGTGTATACATTTTAATTAAGGAGACGGACAGTATTTTAAAAAGGGACTGTGATATACAGTAGATTTTTCAAGAACAAAATAATATGAATGAGCAGATTGTAGTTATCTAAGCAGAATGGCACCCTTCAGATCGCAACGCAGTTACATGTATGCAGTGTGTGTGCATATGGATTTTACTTTATTGCTTTCAGTAGTGAGTAATGTTGATTAGCAACACACAGTACAAATATACACTTATTGTCTTTTTTTTACTCTATGGTGACACTGCAAGTCAGCATGTATTTTTCTGTCTAAGACCAGGATAATATTGTAGCATCAGTCGGATGGCTTCCACTAATTAGCATTAGCACTGCTAATGCTAAATGCCCCTTGTTGTGTTATTGTAAAGGCTTGTTGTGTTCCTGGTTGTTGTATGCATGTGCCCTTACCTGTGTCATGTATGAATCCTGTCCGGTCCTCGTGTGTCTCTAGCTATTGTGCAACTACCCACCGTGTGTGTACCTTACCATCTGGCGTCAGAACTCCCTGAGTTACTCGTTATGTGTGTCGGTTTAGTGACTTTTGTCTATGTTAGTCCTTTCAAGTGCAATAATAAAAGAGTTGCCTCGTGTAAAACAGTCTCGGTCGGTCTAGTCTCTGCTGCTGCGATGCCTGAGTCTGCCAAGCGCTACAATACCATTAAACTAACTAGATATTTTTGTAGAGCATAGTTCCTGTTTTAAAGGCGATACCGTGACTCAGAGGTGAGCACCCCCGCCTCACATCTCCAGTACTGGCGTTCAGCTCCTGCCCTCTGCTCTGTGCGTGAGGGATCTGTATGTTATTCCTGTGTTTGTGCGAGCTACCTCTCACAGTCCAGAAGAGGTGGGATCAGCTGGTGTCTCTAATGTGTGCAGGCCTGTCTCTCAGGAGGGGTGGGCCCAGGGCGAGCCAACTTATTTGGGGCCCCAGCTGAGGCCGACATAGACCGACATAGAGTGGGAATCACTGTGCCTGCTACTGTAATACAGATGCAACTATAACTAAGAATAATAACTCACCAATCGCTGAAAGTGTAAACTATCTCGACTTCCTAGCATGCTAGCTAGCGGCTAACAGAAACATGGCCAGGCAGGTTGTTAGCCTAGACTGTGTGATCACATGTCCAACACAGGGTCTAGGTTAACGGTATTTCCAGTGTATATTTGGCCAAAATCACATATTCAGGTGAAACATGATTGAATACCAGCAATGAATTCAAAATTTAATTATGTAATAAGTTGTTACTGTTTAGCCTATGATTATCTAGGGGAGTTTCCCCCTAGAGGGCGGGGCCTGGCGGCCTGAGGGCCTAAGGCTGTGTGCCCTGTGTCACACTGGAATCCCGCCCAAGGTGTCCACTGCCTAATACCCTGTGCTATGTGGGAAAACTCCATGCTGACTGTGACCCTGCCTTGCAGAATCGGTTATGGACGGATATTTCCCATTTCATGCCAGAGGATTTAACTGCAAATGAACATGTAACGGAATAGCGAGGCGCTTGTTGTGAGATGCACTCGTCGCCACGCAGCACAGAGGGCAGCCATTTGATCTTTAAAGTTTTCTGCTGAAGCTGTGCAACTTTGCAAGTAAAATGTCCACACTGATTAGCGAATGGCTTTGCTCTGACCTCTCTGCTGGTTCATCAGAGAAGTCCCAGCGGGCTTCCCCAGCGGCTGGCTGTGTTTATCATCCTCCTCTCTTCATGAGCAGTGCTGCGACCTACTGCTCGGCACCTCCAGTGATGCACTCCGCAGTCAGAATGCCCCACCCACCCCAAATTTTCCAAGTTCATTTTGCAAACGATTTCCTCCCGCTGTCAGACAGGCACCAAATATGAGAACAGCCTCCTTGAATGAACTGTAACTTTGCAGCTGAATGGGGACTACAGCAAAGTCACAGGAAAAGCAGCTTCTGATGCAGTTTGAAATGTGAACCAGGAGGTGGATTTTTACTGATGCGACTCGGGGAAACATTACCCACTGGCTGTCACACTCCCTCCCGAGCCGCGGCTGATGTACAACGTGCGGCATCGGCGTGTAGACTGCGTCCGTCAAATGCAGTGAGGGGTCGCATACCTGATCGGGGGGTGGGGCATTCACGGTGATACTGAGCCATGTAAGTTAGCGTTTCTGAACTAGTGGGTTGCGACCCATTTTCAGTGCATCATGGATTGGTGCTCTTACCGTTGTCTTGCTCCCTTCTTGGTTGACAACTTTAACTGCTGCCATGCGCCCCCGCCACACCCCCTACAACTATTGTGGGTCGCGACCAAAGACAAATGTGGATCCTGAGGTGAAGCCATTTGTGAAACTCTGGTGTAGGTGATCAGTGTCGTGTTTAGGCAGAATGTTTTGATGCAGCATCAATATTATAGTTCTGAATAGTTCCTGTAACTCAATGAGTAGGACCTTGCTCTACAAATGCAAAGGTTGTGGGTTAAAATCCAGGGAAGACACGCAAATTGTAACCCTTCCCTATACTGTAAGTTCTCTGTATAAGGATGTCAGATAAATTAATAAAACGTCCCAATTTGACAGGTACAGTGGATGTCTGGGAATCTGTCATGCAGGTCCTTCTTGCTGGCTAATACAGACGTGCTTGAGCATGCTGGGTCCTGCCAAAGCGTTGCTCCATTCATTCTTACAGCTGTCGTACAGCCATTTATGGCAGATTTATGGTTGCAATTATTGCACTGTAAATGACCAATGCAGCCTGGAACGCAATCCATCAACGTTGAGGAACAATGAATCCTGCTCCTCGCAAGACTCTCACCTCCTTGTAGTGGATCATAAAATATCCATTATTCTGTTCCACGTCATCTTGTAAAACTACAGGAGAATTGCCATTATGATTTTTATATTGTTATTGCTTGTGACCAGCCTATTTATTGTCTCTAACTGCCAGCTTTGAATATAAACACCATCCAGGTGCTTAGGAGCGTGTATTATGGGATTATTATGGGATTACCCAGGGCACTACTTTACAATAATGGGAAGGTCTGTAGATATTTGAGGCTGAAATCTCACAAAGCATGCTGGCATTTTCCACAAACCCCCCCCCACCCTCCCACACACACACACACACACCATATTCCGGCTGATGGTGTGGAGCACTGGGACTCCAAGCCAGGTGTCCATTGTCTCCATCTTCATCTGCTGTTGCAGGGTGATGAAGGCCATTCCCTGTACACTATATATCCCTGTTAAATATTTACCATGCTATTTCTAAACTGATCAATACGCTGTTCTGCTTGGCTTGCCACGTGCGCTTTGTCGCTCGGTACACGCCGCGCGTCCGAACAGGAGAGGATCCACATTCGCTCCTCTCTGAGCTTAACGGCGGAATCGCACACAATCGTTCCCCTGCCGGTTTCTCCACGAGGCGGAGATGGAAAATGAAATAACTTGCACCTGTAGCCTGCCCCCTCTCCCGCCTCTCCCCCCCCGCCCTTCCCCATCCCTAGCTGAGGTGGGTGAAAGCCCGCTCTGGGCCTGGGAGTAGATCAGAACAGCGAGGCGCCGACCCACCTACGCAAACATCCGGTGCTGAACCTCGAGAAGACTGGCACCATGCCATACAGCCGACCTTCCTACACAGATCTTCCACATCTTCTCAGCTGTGCTCAGCTCTTGGATTCCTTCATACAGCACCAACTGACACTTCTATCTGTCTATTTCTCTCTCTATACTGTTTCTGGGTGCCTGCATTCTGTACCCTTTGGAAAATTTTGGGAGAATTTCACTTTGTCAGTGATTCCCAGTCTCTACTTGCATTACGTACCTTCATCGGGTTCCGAATCCGATCCCTGGCTGCCCTGAGAGCTCACAGAGCCCTGCTCTGGGCTCCGACCCTAAATTGTATTGCTGTTTCTCCCACCCCAGTGCCCATCCCCAGGTCTCACTCGAGGAAGCAGAACTGAAGATGTATCTCATAAAGTTTTTAACGATCGTGAGTTTCTGATGGACGGTCGGCGGTCCCCCGACAAAGAGAGCTTTCCAGAGGTGATTGCACGGGGTGCAATTCTCAACCATGCAGAAAGCGAGTGGCACTCCTCACAGATTATAAGGCCCGGGGTTCAGCGAACAAGAGGCTGTGATTTACAGAGCCATCTGGATCTCGGAGGGGCAGAGATGGGTGATTAAGTCCCAGGAGCCATGTGTGCTTTTCGGGGGGATTGAGGCCGGAACTCGCCTGACGCTTCCTAGAGGGAAGTAGCTGGAAGGATGCTGGCCAGGTGTGATGGCTCAAAGGGGAGATGTTCCACCAGGGTCCTCCTCCCGCCAGAGGAGGGGGTCTGATCTCCTCACTGGCAGCTCCTCTCCCTCGATTCCCCAGTAGCCTTTTAAGCTTCTGGCTTCATTTTCTGTGTGAATGCTTGGGTGGTTTATCCGCCCGCCTGCAGACACGTTTCGCGTGGTGCCTCGCAAGCTGTCCTTCGCCCGCATACACGCCCACGTACGTCGATACGTGACCCAGTGACACCTGCACTTGGATGACTTCACGCCTATTTCTGCAGCAGTTTCTGTCAGTTTTTACGTTCCGCGCACACGCACACACACATACACACACACACACACACACACGCATACACGGACACACGCAGACATCTGTATATCTGGTTCACATTTTTCCAGGCGATTTTCAGAACCGTTTATTAAGCTTCCTGTTATACGGAGGTGGGGGGAGGGGGGTGGGGGGACCATCTCATAGCTCTGGTGCTCTGAACTGTGAATAATTTGCTGGTTATTTCCAGCGTTCAAGGAGCTCACCGCACAAGAGAAAGACACCAGAAAAGTATCAAAGGAGGTTTTAAAATAATCCCTTTCATGTGAGCGAGATACAGCTGTTGATTATGCGGCCATTGTTAACAGATGACATCAGGTGCTTGATGCTGCATATAAAATGTGGGCCGGGATGCTAATGAAGTCATAGGAGATGTAAATGGCAGCGTGTTCGAGCTTTTCTTGAGTGCGTGCACTGGATTACCCATACTGCCCTGCTGTAACCCGCTGCCCGTTCACTGGGCCAGAGCGCGCTTGCAGAGCTGGGCAGGGGGCCGTAACGCGAGCAGATGGGGGGGGGGGGGTCTCCTGCTGGGGAAAGAGTCGCTGCGGTGAAGCGCTCTCGATTACACGGGGACCGGGACACAGGCAGATTGCCAGGAAGGGGGGGACTGTCAGATTTTATTATTTTTTCTGCGCTGTCCAGGGCTCACTGTCCAAAACAACCCCAAAAACATTCATCTTGTGCTGCTCTTGCGGAAAATGCAGGGCAAGAATTACTGTCTAAATGTAATGTTTCTAGCCAGAGGATTTCAGGGGACGTACATGGCCGTGCGAGCATTGCAGCTCTGCCAAGCGGGTGCGGGTGCACTAGGACCCTGGGGAATGCTCGAGTTGCCTCCTGCTGAGTTAAAGGCAACCAGCTGAACCTCGCCGGCTCTCTGCATTATGCATGCGGGGCGGTCGAGTGTCAGGTCGCGTTTACCCCTGTCCCCTCAGCCAGGTGCCTGTGCGATGCACGTGTGGTGCCGGGTTGCTGAGGGGTGTTTCTTACTTTGCCGTGTTTCGCTGAAAGTGCGAGGGTAAGGAAGGTGTAGGAGGGGCCTAATGAGGCCTAATGCAGCCCACAGATCTTCAGCCTGTGTTTAATTATAGAAGGCGTCATGTGAAAAATGTTGGCATATAATTTTACATCGCTGACATATTACTCTTATATCAACCCACGTATCAACGTCGAACCAAGACCCCATTAAAAACCTATTGTTGACTAAAAAGTGCATGATGAGAGACATAAAGGCAGCATGACCCTTTTAAAAAGGGGTGATCTGAGGTCTGTCTTACAGGGGTTTCTGAAATGCCAGTGGACGCGTGAGTGGAAAACAAAAGTGGCAGCCATTAGCGTTAGCGTTAATGCTAGCGTGTCCCGAGACGCGGCTCGCATTCAAAAACTAGGAGAAGCCATCATGGTGAGAGATTCTCCCGGATGTTCTGAAGAATTCACAGGGACTCATCCTGGTAGAAAGCTCCTCCATCCAGCGGCGGCGGGTGAAGGTGGCGGAGTGCCGCCTTCAGGCTGGTTTGTGTGGTACCTCTTGCTCGCTTAACACAGGTTGGTTTGTGGGGTCTTTTCTGGGGGGAAAAAGCGACAAAGTTTTTCGTGAAGTCAGACCATCACTTGACAGGAAGCTGCTTGATCTTGGGTCTGTACCCCCCACCACCGTTTATGACCCACCCTCCCTAACGCTGGAATCGCTAATCGGAAGAATTCCTGTTGGGCTGCTTTGATTGTGGGCTGATGATGAAGGCCAGGAAAGGCAATACCCCCCCTCCCACCAGTCTGCCCTGCCACCCCCTCCCCGTCTGATCCTACTACCAGCAGCCCCCGAAAGCCACTCGGTGGCGTGACATTCCTGGGCTGAGACTCGGTCCCTGATCCAGGTGGAGCCACTCACCTGCAGTCTGTTCGGCTCTTGGCGCGGTTTTCGCCTGCCGAGTATCGGGCAAACTGAGAGGACACCGGAAGCCCAAGCTGTGAGCAAATCACCGCTTTGTGCTTAGCAAGATTACATGCACAAAATCCCTGACTATCCCACTCCGGGCAAATCTGGCACCGGTGCCTCCAGCAGGGGTTAACCCTGGCCGTCAATCTGTGAATTTTGCCTTGGGCCACAGTGTCAGTAAGATGGATCTTGGCCCCGATCCTTGGTAGCTGCTCTGTGGCCTGTTATCTTCCAGTGCATGGAGGTCCACCTCCATACAGCTCAGACACGCTGATATCTTCATGTCTACCATGACAGCTCTTTTTTTTTCACTAGGAAATTCGTGGTTGAGGAGTAAATCATGACATAAATGCTTATTATGCCTAGTAATGTAAAATACAGCTTAACAGGCTAAGGGTAGCCGGTGAACACCATAAATACTGTAAATATTCTGGAGATAGTATTATCAACTCTGTACCCATACATTAAAATGCTGAGATAGGCAAGATGAATTAAATAGGAGACAATCCATATTAGCCATGCACTCTGTAAATGGTAGAATGGTAATGTCCATTTTCATCATAATGGCATTTTGGTCAGAAGCATAATCTATGTATTTTGCTGGAAAAAAGAAAATACCGACAGTATTTACCTGTTTGTTACTAATTTATGAATGTTATATGGCTGACTACAGCCTTAAAAACCTACAGTAGAAACCCTTAATTGGCATTAATGGATGATTGTTTAGCACAATTAATTCTTTCACTGCAAGTGACTGATAATCAGTATGACAACATGAATGTCTGTCTGATTACTCCCATAAAACTTCCTATTTTTAGAGTCCAAGCTTAATGCAAACAAATATTCTAAGTGCAAATGAACCTCAAGGACTTTGGTGACTGGCTGGTATACGGATTTATCTCTCATTGTGTACTATACTGAACTTAATTAAATTTCTTTAGACAATTGTTTTTATTGTTGTACAACTTAAAAGATATCCCACCTTCAACAGTTGCTTAATTTACTGTTCAATGGCAGCGTGAAGGATTATTCTATTAGAATAACCCCATCCTAATATTGATTTGTTCTTAGTTTGAAATCATTATACAGTACACTAAAAATACATTGTTGTTTTCAGAATAAACAAACAACTTATTATTTGATTTCAATTTATAATGCTGGGCTGAGCTGTTAGATCAGAGATTCAGCCTCAGTTTTCAGTTGTTTTGAATGTTAAGCAACCAAAACTGATCCTGTTAGTGCTTTATTGTCACCTGAAATTAGGAACACTGTTAGTACTCAACTATAATATTGATCCAAATATGAAAGTATTTTAGCAGTTTAGTATACAGAGTACCTTAATGAAAATCAGGCTGAATACTGTTCTAGTTCATTCATGCACAAATTTAATAAAAGTATAATAAAAATATATCAGGGAGATGTAGGAAAACCTTAGTCCAGAGGCACCTTTTTCTCAGTTATCGACATTCTTAATACCTTATTAAAATGATCCTCAACTAATGTGATTCATATTTAATATGATTCGATTGCGAAATTCATTTAATCAAGAGTTGACACCCAAATAACAAGCTGCTGTCTAGTCAGCACAGTCTGGACCTTTCTGTCCGAGAACTCAACACAGGGTCCTGTGAATCTGCACTGAGTCTGAGTCCGTAATGGATGAATCCTTGGGAAAGCCTGTGAGCATGTTGATGTATCTGGTGAGAATTTATGGATGCTGTTTCCCTAAGTCAGTGCTGTGCAATCCATTTGTTTAAAGAAAGTTCTAGAAAGGTCATAGCTATATATCTCCTTGACATAAGCACACTCACGCTTTTTCATGGGAAAACACTAACCTGACTGTTGAATGTGTTGTCAGTGTCATGGCAAGAGTGTGTCAGGTTAATATTCTTACTAAATGCTAAACTCTAAAACTATTATTTTCAAAATGTAACTGTTTTCACATGTAATGCCCAAACAATATTCTTACAGGGGAAACGGTTTCAAATATTCACTTATATCTTTGCAGGTTATGGTGGTGACTATCTACAGCAGAACCACCAAAGATACTGAGGCACTGGATAAAATATCACGTCGACAGGGTATGTGAGCTGTATGAAAATAGGAAACACCTCTGGGCAACGCCAAACACAAAGGTTGCACTTCATCATTTTGTAAACCAACAGCAAGGTGACGGAGCAGCTGATCTCTGGCGGTCATTGACATTTCGGAGAGTGCCGGGTACGCGGTGAAGGATCTGCTGAGAGCTAATCGCTACTCTCGCTAAGAAGTGGGACAAAGTTGTGGATCAAACAAAGTCTAAAACTTGGTTACTAATGTCCAGATGGATATGATGTCATCATCCATCTTTTCTAATTATCTAAGGAAATATTCAATAAGAAAGAAAATTCTGATGACGATGAGAAGGTAACGCATCCTTTGAATCCTTGAAGTTACTGCCATTGTCATTTGGTAACACGGGTTCCTGTGAGAATTTCCTTACTCCTTTGTGCACTCACGGTCATTAATTCCCCACTACTAGGAGTTGGAGGTGTATACTTGGGAAGCAGGGGGGCTTGTAGGGGTTTCAGTGTGGTATGAACACATGTTCGCTGGTGACCTTTATATCCGCTTCATCAGTTGGCAGCACAGGTGCACTGGTCAGGAAGGTCTCTCAGAGTTTAACTTAAACTGCCACTGTGGATATGTTCTCAAACACTGAGTGCAGGGCAGTTGCTCATGCCACCCTGTGATCCATGTAGTAGCTTCGAAACGTCCTGATTGGTGTTAGGAGCATCTGCTAAGTCAGTGGGCATCACTATCAACTCCTATTGGCCTTGAGGAAACCAGGGCAGATGATGGATGCCTGTCCATGTCTAATTTGTATTTCTCCTCAAGTTCCATTTTCCTCCATAAAACAGTGATGGATTTTGTTAGTCTATTCAAAAATAGACAAAGCAATATATTTTTGGAGATAAGGGCCACAGGACCGACTGGGAAAAATTGGAAACTTTATCAGTTTCTCGTAGTATTTGTTGGAAGTCTGATGGATACTCAAGTCCATTATCTCAAGGCTTGTATGTTAGCAGAGTGTGCTGTGTAGGCTATTATTGGCTTTTGTTGGGTACACATGGACTGGGATAACAATGTGATTTATGAACTGCTGGAAATAAAATATCTATAGTGCCATTTAGGCGAGACTGATAAATTGGAAAGCCCAAGAAATACATGGCTTGGAAATTAAAGTCATTAGGTGAAAATGCTAAGGTGGGGAGGGCTGAGGGGGTGGGACACTGATGGTCTTAAATTATGATATCGCTCCATTGGCTTTGTGATGCAAATCCCTCTGAGAACCTGATGTAAAGTACCAGACAAAAGTCTGGATAAGCCAAGTTTCCTACAAAGGCGAGAGAGAGAAAATGCCACATCACATGATCTGGCCACCTGACCTAAACACTGTAGAAATGGTAAATAAACAGCAGCCTCACACAGCTACCTAACCAGCCTCATTAATAGGTGCATATGAGTTAATTTGTTCACTCATTAGTAACTTCCTAAAGTTCATCCCGCCCGCATCCAGACCTCCGTTGCCTCTGATCTCCAGAAAACCCCGAGAGCCCAATTAACAGCCGAGAAGGAGCAGGAAGTGAAGGTGCTTCCTGGACTCAGTTGATGGAGACGCACAAGCATAAGTGTCCTCAGAGCAGCTCTTTGTCTCCCAGGCAGCGGATGTGCTGTCCTGCCTTTATTGTCACACTGCTCCTTCCAGACGGCGGACGTCTTTGATAAAGATTTTCCGAGCTTGTTTCGGTTTGTTTTTTCAAGCCCTCTAGGTTTTACTGTTGGATTAATAAATATCTACCAGCAGATACTTACACCCCCAGGATTTATAAGAGCAGGTAACTGTGGAGTCAACGTGCCTGAAGAACCCCTTCATATTGATGAAGATGATGATAGGCGTACTGTCATTGTTTCAGACTTATGCATGTATGCACTGTTCCCAGCCATGAAATATTGATGCAAACTCCCTTCTCGCTAATAACGGATCACTGTAAACAACAAGGACTGTGACACGAATATGGTGCCAGAGTGACAGGTCACAGAACGCGTCGAGAGGCAGCAGGTATCGGATGGTGACAGGATTCTGTTCAGCTGTCCTCGGAAATATGTATAAAAAGTGTCAAGGTGCAGGTTTTGTGGGCAGATGCTGTCGCCGGGGATTCTGCTACGTTTGGGTGACGCGGGGACAGTAACCAGGCAGCTGGGAGAAGGTGGCATTCCCCCGGTTCTCACGTCACCTCAAGTAGCGTTGTGGGAGGTGCTCCAGGTGATGTCAGACTGTGTCTGCTCAACGAAACTAACCCCCCCCCCCCCAACGTAAACCCCATGGACTAATATAGAGCCATTGACAGAAGCCAAGCTGTGCTGAACACGCTGCACCCAGCGGAGGCGCCTGATTGGTAATGATTGTCCTCGCCGCCTGTCAGACCATAATCCTCCCTGTGAAGTCCAGTCTTTGCCGTTCCCACAGAGTTCTCCTATGCTTCAGCATAGCACTTCATTAGGGACAGCAACACGGATCAATTGTTCTTGATGAGAAAGACTGATATTTCATTTACATTCCTTTCAGCATAATTAATGTATGTAATTAAGATTTCCATTATAAGGCAGCAGATGTTGTTGGTGGCTTTACTGATAATGGACTTAGCTCTGGCTGTGTTGATTAAACTTGGTCAGTTAGCCAGTCAGCTGGTAAGCTCGCACTTGCGGACGGCCCGTGTGGGTGCGTCGCTGCCTTTTCACAGTGAGATCTCCGTTTGGGGCTGGACCGGGCTCCTCTATTCTCACCCTTATCGGGGAATCGATACGCAACAACAGCAACAACAGAAGCAGCAATAGATGCGATGTACCCCAGAATAAAGGACTTCATCCGCTGCGATGTTGCTCTAGCTGGTCTGTTGTAACAATTCCTTTTTTATTCCTGTGAATTTCAGGTTATTTGCCAAGATATATGGGAAAGTTAATGGGTCTGTAATGGATCCCCCACTGGGCGATTTGCCTGGGTGGAGGTCCCTGTTTGCTATTTGCACTATTGTTTTTTTCTTTTATTACGGGGTGTCCAAACTATTATTAATCGATCCTTTACTTCAGAAAAAAAAAACACTGCATTTGTCTTTTCAATTGCACAGCAATATATTTCCGGGAAAGCCTATGGAATTTAAAAATAACGACCTACTCTTTTAATTTGCTGTCACACGATTTAATCGAATTTAAGCACGCAGATGACCCGTTAGTATCATGAACTGTTTCATTGGCATTTTGTTTGATTATTTAAAGGAAAATAAAGATAGCCCAAGGGCTAGGAAAGGTAAAGCTAAGGCATTACAGTGTGGTGAAATTATGTCACAGAAATGCGAGCTGAATGTACGTATTTCAATGACCTTTCGTAATTAAATGCTGAGAAACTTTTAATGGGTTTACACTGCAGACGACATTTTCCCCTCTCCGTCCTGACATTAAGAAGACAAAGGCTCCTCCAGGCCCAGAACTGAACTGATCATCAAGACTTTGCCTCCCTGCTGTGATCCTCCCATTTTCCCAGAATCCTCTGCACTCGCATGTTGCTGTTCATTCCTAGGCGTCCCCACTTAATGCAATTAACGATCATTACAAATCGTGTGAGTCTGTAGTTTGTGATGTAGATGGATCACAGGTTCCAGGAGTGATCCTGGGAGAAGATTTATGGGGGCTAATTGGTCAGTGACTCCTAAGCAGACACTGAATAATGCCAAACAACTGGAAAACACAGATCTGTGCGAATTTGACATCCTAATTATCCATTTGCTGTGGGATTGAGAGCAAGCAGCACTGTGTAATTCACAGGTTAGTATCTGCATGGGCCAAAATGTGACCCTATATTACAGTTAATACGTACATGGTAGACTGGAGGAAGTGGCTCTGGCTAACAAGTGGCCCTGTATTACAGTTTGGATGAAGGGGCTCCAGGTAATTGGCTAGACCTAAACATAACAGGACTAATTCTGGTGATGGTTAGAAGAACTAGTTAAGGTATGTGAGGCAACAGGCGCTGCAAGCTTGGACTTACCAGGGAGAGTTTCCAGCACGAATGCCTGGGATGTGACTCAGAATCTCAAGTAGGTAACAGATGGTTGGTTCTCCTGCTTCTTCTCCTTGCACACATGCTGCGTTTTGTTTAAAAAGCTCCTTTGTGGGATCATGTCTGTAGAACTGGCAACTAGACTACGCCAGCATCCATCACAGCTTCCACCTTGATGGGATGCATTCAGGATGACAAGGTCACTAATGGCCAAAAAAATGACCCCCCCCCACCCTGCAGGTCTGCTTCGCCATTGCTGTGAGCTACACAAACAAACATTCACCACCTGTTTGACTTACATTTGCTTCTGTTTACATCCCTAATGCGTAAAGCACCATAACGCATAAAACACCTTTCGATAGTAAGGTTCAGTAAATTTCTCCTGTTGGCGTAATCCCAGTGATATCTAGTGAGCTTCTGTTAAATTTATCCTATACTTATGCAAAGCTGTCAGTGTTTTGGAGTGTTGTGATGCACATTGAAGCTCATAGAGGGAACTCGCCGTGCAGTAAATCATGTGAGTTTGCAGCGAGAGCCAGGAAAAAACACATATTTCGATGCGATGACACACTTTATGCTGCAAACCACCAAACAGAAGGGAGGACATCAGGCTGATATAAAATATAAGAGCTGTGTACTGAAGGATTACTGATGCGTTCCGAGTTCTCAGTTGCATATTATTTCAGCGGGACGGCTCCGAAAATCAGATGTGAGTCATCCAAAATGGGTTCTGTGTGATGTGCCTTTCATGTCAGTTAGGATCTTTGCAAGTCTGCAACCTCAAGGTCATGATAAGTTATCCAGTGGGTCAAAAATGTATTGGCATGTATACGAAAAACATGAAGTCAGCAGCCAGTTTCATTGATGCCGCAAGGCAGAGCACCAAACTGCGTGATTGCAGGGTCTCGAGTGATGATCAGACCGGGGAGTGTCGGCCAAATAGCTGCTTATGGGATCCGGAAAGTGTCTGGTTTGCTGGGTACCTTAACTACATTAGGCTCTGTCTGTCAGACTCTCTCCGCCCCTGCCACACGTAATCCAATCCTGGCCTTTGTCAAGCCTTCGTGGAGCTTGCAGAGCGAGGCTATAATCACGGGAACAGAAGTACGTACAGGTGTCTGCGTAAATGAGTGCAGGATTCTGTGAGGAAGAATGCCAGAGCATTTGCAGAAAGCTGAAATAAAGAGGGAACGATTAGGGGATTATCTTTCTTATTCATGGCTTTCACAGTACAGTGCAAATGTTTATCCTTGACAACGAGAGCTTGCTTATCCCATGTTATCGCACCATAAACTAAATAGAGAA